GCACATTAATACAAAATTTTAGCTGGGGTGCCCAAACTTGTGTGTGTGTGTGTGTGTGTGTGTGTGTGTGTGTGTGTGTGTGTGTGTGTGTGTAGGTGTGTAGGTGTGTAGGTGTGTGTGTGTGTGTGTAGGTGTGTGTGTGTAGGTGAGCATACATCTTGATGGTCTACTTACAGAATAGATTTTCCTTCGTAGAATTTCTGTCTCTTTCATCTGGAAGTCATTTGCAATCTTTTGTGTCAGCCAGCAGTGATGAAGCTTTTGTATTGTTCACAGAATTTGCTTTTGAGTGTATCATCAAAATCTCCTAATGCTGCATCCTGTTTTCTGGGCAGTGAAATTAAAGGGGCATCTGCAGGGCAAATGTGTTTCTGTCTTTAAAGTACCAAAATAATTGCTGCAGTTCTGTTTCCTCTAGCAAAAGCCCAGCATTCTCCTTACTTTCCCAGTTGTAGTATTTGAGAATTCAGCTTGAAGGCTTAGCAGTGAGAAGCCATTACATTTTAAATTATTAAACTAAAGATTAAAGCAACACAGATGTTGTGGCATTGGGTAAATCCATGGTAAATTATGTTGGTTAAAGACTTCAGACATCCATTGCTTATGGGCCTTAGTGTAGTTTATCGCAAACTGTTCAGAAAATACAAGATATCAGTATGTAAGAAGGTCTGTGATAAAATCCTGATCTCTTAATTCAGTATAAAATCTGTAGTCCCACTCATACTTATTTTTTTAAAGGTATAAAAATAATTAGCACGTGGTGTCCATATTGTGCTAATTCAGCATGCTTTGAGTATAGAGAACCAGTGAAGAATAGGTGTTTGTAATAATTTAATATTAAATTGTCATAGTGCAGCATTTATTGATAGTAGTGTTCTCTGTAACTTTTCTCTCCCTGTTAGAGCAGATATATTCGCTTAGGGTTGGTGTGTAACTCTCTACAGAGTGCCACAGCTCGGTTTTAAGTACAAATGTCCTATGGGTTTGTGAAGGAGGTTAAAACGATTGACTGCCAAACCTTGGGCAAATATTTAAAATAAATTGTAGTATTTTCCAATGTTTGTCTGTTTAAAAATGCTGCAAGTACAGAAAAATACTCGTTGATGTGCCAGAAAACCAAGTGTGCTCCTAACGTGCTGTTTGAACTTACAACACAGTGAGGTGGGTTTACTAAAGGCAAATAGACTGTGCACTTTGCAAGTGCAGTTGCTCCAGAGCTTAGTAAATGAGGGGAAGCTCTGCTGTCTTCCACCATTCAATCATGTGCAAGCAGAAATGCGTGTTTTTTTTTTTTTTTTTTTAATTTTTCATGCATGTGATTGGGTACCCTCTACAAAGTAAAGCAGAGGACTCTGTACTTGCATATAGTGTTTTTTTTTTTTTTTTTTTTTTTTTAAGGGACAACTGGGATACTGATCAGAATGAGAACTGTATATGCACTTTGTTCCAGGGAAAGTTAAATATTTAATGACCCTAGTTTTTAAAATTTTAGGACTTGGGATGCTGCCAAACAAATGTATAGATCCATCTCTGACAAAAGATTTTTTTTTTTTTTGCCCAAAAAATATTATGAGGATGGGGAAAAAATATTATGAGGACTGGACACACTTTAGCCTGGATAGTATCAACACAGACAGGAAACTCCCATATTGATGCCATAATCTGTCGCAGTGGAAAGCTGCTTACTGACAACCTTTCTATTTCCCAAGCAGTTAAATAATACTTACAATGATTCAGAAGTAATATTTGACTATGTTGCTCTATCGTCTTACTACATTTAATACAGCTGAGTCTCGGGGGGGGGGGGGGGGGGGGGGGGGGGGGGGGATTCTACCTACCTACCTACCTACCTACCTTGACAAATGAACCGACAATAATTGTCATTTCCAAACTGGGACAGGAACCACCTTTGTTGGAGTCCTATAGGCCAATATTATTGCTATCCTCAGACTTGAGGCTATTAGAGTGCTGATTACTCAACTGTCGTCTAGAATCCCTAAATTGATACACACTGGTCAGTCAAGTTTCATCCCAAACAGATCTGCGATCAATATCTACAGATTGTAGGAATCTGTATATTCAGTTCTGAATAGCGCTGGTAATAGTCATGTTGTCATTAGACACTGCTAAGGCATTTGGTTGTGCTGTTTGGCAGTATCTTTATTTATTTCAGGTACTTATATAGCGCCGTCAATTTATGCAGCGCTTTACATATATATTGTACATTCACATCAGTCCCTAACCCTCAAGGGGCGTACAATCATTCTTTGGCAAGGTTTGCAGCTCTTTGGTTTGGTTCAAACGTTCCTATATTGGATTCAGCTATTATCCCTACCACTCAAGTCAGAATAAGTAGTTCCCTATCAGATCCTTTTACTTTGTAATGAGGCACCTGGCAAGGCTGCTCACTATCTCCCTGTTATTTGTTCTTGCAAGACACTTGAGATACTTCTGGGATCCTTGAGATTTCATTGACGTACAGTTTACCTGTATTTGAACTGATTCTGTCAGGTTTTGCATTGCCATAGACCTGAAAGAGAACACACAACTTGCTTGAAGCAAACACAGGCCTAATGCCTGGTACACACTACAAGTTTCTTTTTTTTTTTTGTTCAACCCAGCAGGCTTAATGAAAAAAATTACAGATCATTGTACGAACACAAGTGATGTTAATACAGTGATTCCTCCCCCAAGTGTGCTGTTGTGTTCTGACAGAGAGACCCCCCTCCCCAGCAAAATACACAGGTCAGCACTCGCAGCCATGGCTGAGAGCTGATCGGATGCTGGTTTTCCAGAATGCCCATTTGACAGAAGTTGATTCTGAGACCGGCTTCTGTCAGACAGGGAGTTGTAGACACAGACGAAAGTTGCTTGGTTTCTGCTGTACTTCCTGAATTTGGCCGATATTCGGCCCATGTGTACCATGCATAAGGGTATTGCGGAGCATGGTTAATAATCTGTAATTTTTTGTGTTTTCTTCTTAAAGATAAATTCCAGTTATGGATATTCTATACATAGGTACATTGCGCCAGCTTGGTCCTATGTAACTATGTATATACCATACCTGGGTGATGTCCCTGGAAGCTGAAAGTCACCAAAGTACACACTGCTATTCCAGCGATCTCCACTTGTTTCCAGGTCCTGTGCTGAGCAGCTGACCTGATGCATTGTGAACACAGGAGGTCAGTCACTTAGCTTGGGCACCATTTAGAGAATGCTTTGCATTATTTCAGAAAATCCAAAACATTCTCTGAATGGTGCCCATGCTGAGCAGCTGACCTCTTGTGCTCGGAATCCAGCAGGCCAGCTTATCAGCATGGGACCTGGAAACAAATGGAGATCTCTGAAGTAGCGTTGTCTACTTCAGTGATTTCCAACTTCCAGGAGCTTCAACCAGGTATGGTATTTTACATAGTTACATTGGGCCAAGCTGGACCAATGTAACCATATATAAAATATCCATACCTGGAATTCTTCTTTAGCAAATGGAGTGACTATTTAATATTTTTTTTCCTGACCTAATGAGAAGTCCGCTTTATGCTGCACTGACTTGACGTTAAATTAACCAAAGAAATTATTTTAAAGTATAAGCCACCATGTGTGCGAAAAGAAATGTGGTGCAGTATGCATGTGAAGAAGGGGAATGGCTCGATGACTGACCCAGACTTGGGAATCAGTGTGGCAAGTCTGGGTCAGTCACATGGGTGGGTTGTGACTTTTTTTCATGATGGAAGACCTCACCCAAGTGAAAGTTTATGTTCTTTGTACTAATAAAATGGTGGTTAGTGTACTCTTTATACTGGGAATGAACACAGAGTTGTCTTTGTTAAATAAAATGCCTTTCTACAATATTATTGTAAAATTAATTGGATTTTCTGGACACTGAACATTTTGCCTGGGATTTCTATTTCTTCGCTTTTACACAAGCACACACAAAGGGTTTATTTGTCCTGGGATTAGTAAAACCTCTTAGTAAAACATAAGTTCTGAATAGTGCAGCTTTCTTTGGGCATGTAAGATTAGTACGCTTTTTAGATTTGCCCATTGTTATTGATTTGCCAGTGACAGGATGGAAAGACGCAGCACTGAGCGCTTGGATCTAGATTTTTTATCCTTGCCCCCATACAGTGCAGAGGACCGTGCGCGGTCAGACAGCCTGAGCAGTACTGGCTCGTGTGGCAGGTTCGTGCTGCGTCAGAGAGTGGCACAACTTATGACCTGCATGGAAGATGTAAGCTCCGATGATGACATACATGAAGAGCTCTCTCGATCTATTGACCAAGCTTTTCTAATCTGTGGAAAAAAGATGCCGTCAAGAATGCAGGATTTCAGGTCTTCTGATAATCCATTTTATTTTGTGTATTTGTATATGAAGTGTACTTACATGTGAACTAAAAATTAATTTTTTTTTCATTATAGCTCTACATAAAATTGTAATGTTAATATGTTTTTTTTAAGGTTTCTGTTGGGCTGCGCTTTTACTCCAGAATGCCCTCGTTGTTAATATTTGCTCTATTTATCATATATGGTTGGCCTTTACCTATTAAGATTCTATCTAGCTTTTCTTTCACTGCCTGTCCCCTGTTAGAGTGAAGGTGTTCTTGAGCAGGGATCCTTGTACCTTAGTTTTTCTTAGTTTTCAGCTCTAGAGAAGGTGATGGTACTATGCAAAGAAAAACTGCTTTTGCTTGCTGTATCTCTCATTATGATTACAAAGTGCAGTGATATGTTGTACCCCATATTAACCAGCAATGTTTCACATTTTGGAACAAGGAAACGTGATTTTTCATTGGCTGTTAGTTTCTTTTTTTTCTTTTGCCTTTTATCAAATAAACCTGTGGGTAGGTTCTTTTTTACTTTTTTTTTTTTTTGCTAAATATCTTGTTTATGCATTTACAAATTAAATTAATATACTTTGATGCTCATCTTGTATTGTCCTTATTGTACAGACTGTATTTTGTGTCCATAGTGGTAACATTTGGCTTGCTTTATGTCTTTAGGTTGCACGTTGTTACCTGGAATGTGGGCACAGCATCACCACCTAGAGATCTCAGCTCATTATTGCTCTTTGATGCGTCGGTCTCAAATATTGATATGTATGTCATTGGGTAAGTGTCATGTGTGATTTACAGAGTTTCAAAGAGTCCAATTCACTAAAGTTGGGCAAAATAACATGAGCACAGAAGTGCAGTTAGTGCTCATAGCAACCAGTTCTGGTTTTATTTTTTCCATAAAAGTTGAAACTTGTTGCTGTTGGCAGCACCTTTTACTTCTGTGCTCTTTTTCTTCTCTTCAGTTTGTTGATCAGACCTTAACTGTGTTTGGAAAAAACATATGGTTAGTTTAATTATGCTATTCAGTTACAATCTTGTTTTATTCTGTCACCTGTATAATTAATTTATGACAGCAATATTAACGCTAGCAAAATGGCAGTATCTTTTACTAATACATATTCGTACACCTGTATATAGCCTTTTTGCAGTATCTAATGAATAACCCCTTTGCGGACATCATAGAACACAGGAGGGTTAATTCTCCAACTATTGGGTTAGACTCCATCACCAGTTGACACTGGACACTGGCAAATGGCAAAGCTTGACACTGCTCAGGACAACCCCCCCCCCCCCCCCCCTTGCTTCAGGTTGTTTTTTGCTAGTATCTATTGGTTATGGACTTGTCCCTCTTTCCTGAAAGAGCTTTTTTTTTTTTTTTTTTTTTTTTTTCTGCTTTGAGGCATGAATATTTTCTGTACACTGCTTTTCTACGGAGTGTTCATTTTCTATAGCACTGGCAGTTTTACAGATTGGTGCCTATGTATTCTTAAAACCCTTCTATCTTTTACAGCCAAGGAAACTGAGATGTTAGCCTTTGTTTGCCTGCAGTTGCCATAGTGCTGCACATGTAACCAGTTTTTGCACCAGCCATTTCATAGCACTACCGTTCAATTGAGAGCACAAGCAACTGTGACCGTTATCATTCACGGATGATAGAATGTAACGGTTTTGGGAAACCATTAAATCGGTGGGTTTAGTTAGTCCCTGAACCTTGTTGAAAAACAGGCATTGCCTGTAATGCTTTGGCACTGGATCCTGCATGTGGTGTTCTTTTCAGCAGGAGGTTGCACCTATGAGTTAGCCAGAAGGGTGCTTTAAAAGTTTAGGGCTGTGGTCTGCTATGACAGAACACATTCCCTGAAAACCCTGTTGCTAATGCTTTTCCTGGAAGATGAAGACTACTGCTATGTGTACATGTAAATGCCTTTGTTACGTGGCGTCCTCTGGGACTCTTGTCTTGCCTTTGGGCACTGGCAAGATTGTAGGATGAATGCTGGTTTTTTTTTTTTGTTTTTGTTTTTTTTCACCGCGTCTATAGAGCAGCAGACCCTGGCTGGTTGGCGTCACTAGAGTACTATGTGGGCATAAATTAGTACCAGGTAAAGCACAGACCTCCCTGTTTTTAGGTACACAGATTTCTCCTCTGGGTTTGTCTCCTGCTCTGGACTAGCCTAGCAGCACTACTGCGCAAGTGCGACCTGCCTGCCTGTGCAATTGCTCAAGTGCAAGCCACCCCACCTGCTGCAAAAGCTCCTCCACAGCATAGGTCGAGAGGTTTCCAGGTTGTGGGGCACTGCAAGGCTATTCTGTGGGCAGCACAGTAGCTAAGTGATTAGCACTTCTGCATAGCAACACTAGGGTTGTTTGTTTGAAACCCAACCACGGAACTACCTGTCTGAAGTTTGCATGTTCTCACTGTCTGGGTGGGTTAACTCGAGGTACTCCGGTTTCCTCCCACACTCAAGACTTGCTGGTAGGTTAATTAGCTCCTGTCTAAATTGGCCACATGTGCACATGTCAATTAGGGACCTTAGATTGTAAGCTCCTTGAGGGCAGGGACTGATGTGAATGTGTAATATATAAAGCACTGTGTAAACTGGCATATAAGTACCTGTAATAAATAATAAATATTCTTGGTGCTAGTGCTAGATTGTGAGTGTTGATCCTCTTTGTGGGCCTAGCAAACATGGCGGATGTGGCACTAGGGGGATGAGGGACAGGGGGACTGTGCTCCCTTATTTTAGGAGACAGACTTCCCTTCACAAATCTAGTCTCGTTCATAGTTCCAATTAATGTACACAGCTCCTGTAAAACTTGGGGCAGCATTGTATAACCCTGCCCACTGCACCCTTTAGTGTGTGTGTGTTAGTAGAAGTTTATATATACCGATACTATGTGAATGTGTCCAATGTAAACATACAAACATTCATGTAAAGGCAATAAAGAGCAAAATAGTGCATAACCTCCAAGCTCAACAGTGCAAGATATCAAAGTGTTTAAAAAGCATGTGCGACATTCCGAAATGTGCAAAGTAGTCCACCACAGTAATACGTGTAGCAAAGTCTATTCCGCGGTGATATACTTGAATCATGTTCTTCAGTGCAGTCTGCATGGTCCTCTGCAGTTACACATAAATGGTAATCCACTCACCTTTCAATTTTGACCATTTAAATTAATAAAATGGTCATATGAAGCACGAAAGGCTCCACACACCCTACTCCCATCAAACCATCATAAGAAGAGAGGGATGCAGACATTCACTGCCCAAGATATTTTATGAAAAATCATTAATAAAATCTTTAAAACCTCATTCACATTCTTTGGTGCTAACTCCCAGCACTAAGGGTAACACATTGCAAGCATTTAAAGAGAAATGCCCCACTTCCTGTACTGATGGCGCAAGGTATATTTTTAATAAAATATATGTTGTGCAATGAATGTCACATTAACGTCATTGAAAATTGGCACACAGAGTGTAAAACATATATTCCCATCGTGGAAACTTGGCATGCAGTGTCAGGGAAATCCTTTCTCTCCTTGATTGAGCCTGTCAGGCTGGGAAGGTTTCAGTCCAAGGTACGTGGTTATCAAAAGAAGCTTGGATGCCAATAAGCGTCCTAGAGCTTAAGGCAATTTGGCCTGCCATTCACCATTGGACTTCACCCCCCCCCCACTTCAGGGATCGCCTATCGGGCCCCAATCTGACAATGCCACGACTCTTAAATCACCAAGTTGATACTAGACGTCAGGGCACTTTTCAAGCAGTAGAAATCATTCTAACTTGGGCGAAACTCAATGGCTCCATTCTATCTGTGGTGCACCTTCCCCTTGTGGAAAATTTGGCATGCAGACCTCCTAAGCCACCAGTGGCTGGATCCTAGATTGTTGTCCCTCCACCTAGAGGTGTTTGAGCAACCTTGTCTTTGGTGGTCAGTGGTGCAGAAGAGCTAATGTACTACATATGGACTTGCCTTTCAGTTATTTTAGGACTAACTTGCTAGGTTCCCCAAGTAAGGAGTGTAAACAGTTCCTTCTAGACAATGATATTAATTAGTGCCAAACTACAGAATGAAGTATCCAGTAAATGTCTTTCCGTGTGCATGAGCATATTTTTTTTTTTCTATGTAGCATTTGCAATAATAAATGTATGTAAAGGTAGCCATATTTGCTTATCCCACAGTGGTTGTGCTTTACTGCTCTTTCTCACAGATATGTCTAAAAGTCAGCTGACTCGATATAAACACTGCATTCCTTTTGAGGGTAATATCCTTTTTCAGCAGTTAACCACCTCCCGTCTGGCCCGTTGTATATAAACTGGCGGGTGGTGGCAGTGCAGGGTCAGGTGGCCATTTATAAACAGCCTCCCTGCTCCCTGCCCCCTGCTTGTGTGCGCCCCCTGGGAGCGCGCAGCACTACGATCCGGTAATCACTGTGTTCTCCGGACACAGTGGAACACCGATCGTTGTACAGGACCTCTGTGCGAGATCCCAATCATGTGATCACTGATTGGCCAATCAGTGATCACATGCAGAGTAGTAAGCAAGATGTCACTTCTGACATCATTGCTTACTACGTGTGAAATCTGTGAATGATCACAGAGGTCACATGGTACAAGGCTATTCACAACAGCCTTTTACCATGTGACAAGCTGTGATCAATCACAGCTCACACAGTAGTTCTTAGTGGCTGAAAGAATGCAGCCAGCGAGAAGGAGAAATGATTGGTTTTATTTATTTATTTTAGCTACTTATATAGCGCCGTCAATTTACACAGCGCTTTTATATATATATATATATATATATATATATATATATATATATATATATATTTGTACATTCACATCAGTCCCTGACCCTCAAGGGGTGTACAATGTAAAGGTCCCTAACTCACATTCATACATACACATGCTAGGGCCAATTTAGACAGGATCCAATTAACCTACCAGCATGTCTTTGCATTGTTGGAGGAAACCGGAGTACCCAGAAGAAACCCACGCAGGCACAGAGAGAACATGCAAACTCCAGGCAGGAGGTGCTGTGGCTGAGATTCGAACCAACGACGCTTGTACTGACAGGCGGAAGTGCTAACCATTTAGCCGCTGTGCTGCCTTTATGGGTGGAAAAGCAATCCGTGTAAAAAAGAAAAAAAAAAAAAGGATCTTCATTACCCCCCACAAGTAGTTCAGTGTCACCATGGTACACTGTACTGCTAGGGTGACAGTATGTTAAAAAAAAAAAAAAAAACATAAAAATGTAAAAAAAAAGTTTAAAAATTATAATTTTTGGTTATAAACTAATTTGGGTTATTTTTTTATTTTTCTAAAAGGATAACAATAAATTTTGGCCAACATTTATGAAGAAAGATTATATATTTGCAAAATTTTATAAGAAAAACCTTTTGGACTTTTTCATTTACATAGCAAAAAAAATAAAAAATCCCAGTGGTAAATAAATACCACCAAAATAGAGCTTTATCTGTCTCGAAAAAATTGCCAAAAAATTCATATGGGTACAGTGTTGCATGACCGCGCAATTGTCATTCAAAGTGTGATAGCACTGAAAGCTGAAAAATGGCCTGGACAGGAAGGGGGTAAAAGTGTCCAGACAGGAAGTGGTTAAGCAGAGAGGCATAGATTATAATAAGTGCTTCCAGAGTGAATCTTTCTGCAGAATTCTGTGATTTTTCTGGTGCAGCTGTATGAGACTCCTCTCTAATTTTTAGTTCACACTGCACTTCCTCCAGCTCAATCATATCTCCGTATGGACTTAAAGTTTACTTTAAGCTTGGAAAAACCATTGTAAGAGCATTTAAAAAAAAAATCCGTAAAGGCACATTAATCATTACATTAATGCTGTTGCAGGTACTGCTTGCTGCAAAAAGGTGGACTAAAGGCTCATTTGCACCAACTCCCACCCTGAAAGGGTGTCCACTGGTGTATCCTGGGAGGATTAGTGCAGGTGCACCAATTCCAGTGCCCTTCCAACTCTTGAAATCCCATGCTAGGGTAATTTTGATACTTTAAAAAATAACAACAAATGGCTTGATTAACAAGTTTGCCATTATTGAATCTTAATGTAAGCATTGAGAGCGATCATTATGGCAAATACATGCATTACAGCTTCGTAAACTGAGCCTCATGTCTTTTAGAGCTTGTTCACACCACATATGTTGTCTTTTGCGATTTTCTACGCAGGTAAGGGGTGTGAACATGATGCTGTTCTAGTTATGTGCCAAAAACTAATGTACATATATGTGTGTAAACCTGATACATGTTAAAACATTTAAAAATAAAAAATTCCCTGTTCAAATCTACATTGTTAATATTGTCTGTATTTTAGACTGCAAGAAGTGAATTCAAAGATCGTAAGCTTCCTATCAGATCTGGCCTTTGATGACCCATGGAGTCTGTTTCTTATGGACACTTTTGCTCCTCTAGGTTATATAAGGGTATGTATCTATGTTTAACTCTTTGGACAGTGAAAAGAACTGGACATGTCACCATAAACCACATCTCTGAGGGGCAGTGCTGGTTTGTTCAGACTGTATGCAGTTGACAGGGTGATGGTTGGTGGAGGACAAATGTATATTTTACTATGTGATCCTGCCCTTTTATAGCTAAACATATTTTATATCCATTGTTTGTCAGTTTATATTGTCTATGCCCTAAAACAGGGGCGGACTGACAACTCATGGGGCCTCCGGGCAATAGGGGATCATGGGGCCCCTGTGTCCTTGCCCAAACTCAAAAAAGCTTATAAAAAGGTACCAGGGGCATTTCATGGGGCCCCCTACTGACCCCGGGCCCTCGGGCAGTGCCCGAGTGCTCAAATGGTCAGTCCGCCCCCTGCCCTAAAATATATTTGTTCCTACCCTCTAATTATGTATTTGAGTTTTCCAAGCACTTTGAAAAAGAAATAAAACCTGACAAATCCAGTTTGCTTGACATTGAAGTGATTATTTAGTAAAATGTCAATCGGTTTTACTGACTATTGTTTGACGGGTACGCTGCTGTCATATGTGCCCCTGAGGATTGCCAGTACCACTTGCTGAGAAACTGCATTCTTTATCTGTGTCAAGGCCGGCAGCACTGTACATATTGTCAGTTCACAGTGCAAGACAGAAAGTAGCTTCTTTTTTTTTTTCGCACTTTGGATTCTTAATGCAGAACTAAACTGTATCGGAGAACCACAAACTGAAAATGTTTTTTAATTCATTTTTATTATTCAAAGCAAACTGCCCCCTCCATCAGTGTCTATATGCTTTATTTTGTGGATAAACCAGTTTTGAAAAACAACCCCCTAGCATTTCTAGCCATGGCTGTCTTAACTAAGAGCAGATGATTCATGTAGCATTTAGTCCTGGAATCCCTCTGATCTTAGCTCACCAGATGAAAGAAAAAAATGGCCATAAAGACTTTTGGGATATATGACATAATTTTGGCCTAGGCCAGAAACCAGGAAGCAACTGAAGAAATTAAGAAAAAAAAAAAAAAAAAAGTAAATATAACATTATATACCTTCCTATCTATTGACTAATGCCAGCAGCCTAAGGATTAAAATAGGTAACAAAAGTAAATTTAATATACTTTTATATCTGTTGACTATTGCTAGCAGCCTAAGGGTTAAAAATAGTTAATGTTGATTGAATGAGTGCAGTTCCACTTTAAATGTAGCGCTTATTAGACCTGACACATCTGTTACTTTTGTCTAATGCAACATAACGTCTAAGAATAATCAAGTCAACATAGTTGCCACAAGCTATCAGGAAAATGACCTCAGATTGCTACTTGACTTCTAATAATCATTAGGTTGCTTTCATAATAGATTGTGACATTTTACTAAATTCAGTTCCATCAAATGATAGGCTACAGTAAAAGGAAGAAATTGCTTTTGCATGACCTGATGCAAGCCCTAAAAAGAGATCAATGATAGACTCCTCATCCAATGTTTTTTTTGTTTTTTATAATAAACTTGGTATTGGATATGACATTTAACACTAGACTAGATTTTATAAAGAACCTTAATAATCATGGCCTATATAGAATCTTATTATTCAGCAGTCTTGTAATAAGTAAAAGAACCTTTTTGTGGATGTTTGCAGAAAAAAAGGAATGGAGCCCAGCTTGATTTCTATAAAGCCTTACTCTTGTGTGTCAGTGACCCCGATCAATATGTTATTTTTATCTGTAAAATGATCATACTGCAACTCTAACCATGCTGGTTGAAGAAAAATGTGTATTTGCAGTGTCTCTGACATATCTCTTTCATTCATTTTTAGCTTTCTTCAATTCGGATGCAGGGCCTGCTACTACTGACCTTTGTAAAGCACAGGCACATTCCCTTTGTACAGGACATTCGTACCAATTACATTCGCACTGGACTGTATGGCTACTGGGTGAGTGGTCTGTGATTAATGAATGGCAAGGCCTGCCTCAAGCTACAATTTAGTATATTTTTTTTGATGTGGGATACAGCATTAAGCACATGATGGGTATGAGTAATGGTTTTAAAGTGTTACCAAACCCAGGACCCTGCGTCGACTATATTTGGTCTCCTGCAATACACAGAAAATGCAATTATTTTAGTAAATATAAACTGCTAAATACCTTTTCTCATCAGCAGTTAAAGAAGTCTTGTGACTTCTATCAGTGTTCACCAGAGTTAAAGCTTGTAGGAGGTGTTTTCTCTAGGAGGATGCGGTACCCTGTTTGGGCAGTGCTGATTGGCCCTGTGCTAATCGCATGCACTCTCCCAAGGAATAAAGGAAACCTCTCTAGCAATACACACCAAATTGAGAATGTGCAGTGTCTCCACATGATATGTCTTATCAGGAGGTAAGAGGGAGACACTGGAAGAAGGGGGGGATCAGAGAAGTCAGGATCAAACAGCATTTTTACACAATGCAGAGGATTAACCCCTTAGGTTCCACAGTGAGTATAACAAAGCATGCTTTACTGCATATACAGACTGATTTTACTGTTGCGGGTTTAGTAACACTTTAATACCATTACCTACAAGCTGCTGCTTTTGTTAAATATAATTCCTGCAGTGTCTTTCACAGCCGCCAGATATTGCCCTGTGAAATTTGACATCAGCCACTGCTACTGAGAAAAGTTGTGCCACTCGCCACCCCTTCTGCTCTCTCTGCCATTCATAAACTTTGTATTGCTGCACTCCCACAATGCATCATGTTCTGTGTATGGCGGAGGAGCAGTAGAATGACAGGATCTCCTCCCTTTTATAGAAAGTGATGTCTTTAAATACCATGCTACCAGCTGATGTTTATTAGAAATGCTGACAGACAAGTGGTTAAATCAAAACTCCAGGCAAACGGTCCAATACTTGGGGTATGTCTGTCGATCCAGCCCTGAGATTTACACAGCAGATAAAGGGACCTGATCTTTTCTGTTGCAGTTTCGCTTTCAAGTCTCCTCCCTATCCCCAATCTGTGACTAGACCATGAAAGGAGAAAAGACACACTTATGAGCTTATCTCTCCATCAGTCTGCTGTCTCCTTCTGTCAGCATGCTTCTTGTACTGCAGCAAACCTAATTAAATTCTCATGCTGCTTCTCCTTCGCCATTTTTAATGTCTGCTGTATAGGGACTGCAAGAGACTGAAAACAAGTTGCATTTGGGTACTTGCACTGCTTGTATGTAATATACAAATACATTTATGAGGCGTTAATGATTACAGAGCTGCATAAATGTGCCTTTTCTATGTGTCTGGAGTTCAACTGTAAATGATTGACTAGGAGTCTAATATATTGGAGGAATAGATGGCTGCTGATGGACTAAAAATTTTAAGAGGGAGAGAAAACATCTCAACATCTATACTGCTCTATTTGATCACACTGAATATAAAACAAAGCAATATAATATAACTGATGTGATTTGACAGTTGTTTAGCATCCAGTCCAGCACTAGCACTAGGACGAGGAGTACAATAGGTTGGATTATTTACAAAGCAATCTATGCAGGAAGCCAGGATCTGGTCGATTGTCCAGAAGGCCCAGCTACACTGTACTTCATGCTCCTACAATAAACCATGGGAACAGCACAATAGGTCAAACCTGTTTACCTGCCCATCAATTCACAAAGAAGGATGTAATTGTATATTTTTAATTTCTTATGGGGTCATGTCAATACAGAAAATGCATAGTAGGTAGCTTCTTTGTGGATATTGCAATCCTTATCAATGCCAGTCATTACGGATGGTCTTATTCTGTCTTCATCCATTTTTGGTAGCAAAAGTAGTAGTAGGAAGTATTCATGGTAAAATGTTTCACCTATATTTCATCATGCAGGGAAAGAAAACCTTAATGGATAGAAGTATGTGAACTTTCATTATTTTTCTCCTGAATATCCTAGTAGCTTGGCTACCTTTCTCATCTTTTTGCTTTTATTACTTTCAGTCACTGCCCATGAACAAGTACAGAGATATTGAATTTTGCCATTTTATGGATATTTTAATTTGTTGCCTGCTTGTTTGGGGTCTGTTTGGTGTGAAAGGCAGACAGTCAGGAAAGTAGCATTTTCAGACAGCAGTGGCAGCCAATATGGCGCTTCACAGTTTACAGATCAGGTCTGGTTGTTGTGGCATGGGAAGAGAATTGAAGAGTCACCTTGAACGTTGACTGCCTTAAGATATGTTGTTTTTTTTTTTTTTTTTTATTCACTTCACAGGATTGAATATCATTGTACTGTGATTGTAGTATTAATACATTTTTTTATTGCCTTTTATATAGGGTAACAAAGGAGGTGTGACTGTACGTATGTCTGTATACGGACACATGCTGTGCTTCATGAACTGCCATTTGCCTGCACATATGGAGAATACCAACCAAAGGCTGGATGATTTTGAGAGGATGCTGGAGGCCCAGCAGTTTGACGGGGAAAGCATTGGTGGAATTTTGGATCATGAGTAAGTTTAGATGTTCAGTACACTTTTTCTGTTTAGGTTTTTTTTTCTGCCAAGGTTTAAATGTAGTACAGCTTTGCAAGATGAACAAGCACTCCAGCATTGCATACAAAGTGCAGTACAGTCAGCCTTCAACCATGATATAGCAGGGCTTAAAATTTCAAGTCTAGACCTACTCGCCAGGCAAAAACCTTACTCTCCACCAGTTGCCCTACAAAACCTTGCCCAGGTCTGCCTCCAACCCCACCCCAGGCCTGTCCCCAGCTCTGCCCCCCTTAAATCTTATGAAATTAAATTTTTCTTTAGAATAAAGAGTCCAAAATATAAGAAACTGCAATTATAACATAGCTTTATTATGTCAATTTAAACATAACAGCAATAGCTTAATAGAGTCTAGAGGGCAAGTGGTTAACATAAAACAATGTAAACATAAAATGAAAATAAGTGTCCCCATCAGGTGTTTTCCTTTACATCAGGTGTCCCCATCAGGTGTCCTCCTTTACATCAGGTGTCCCCCATCAGGTGTCCTCCTTTACATCAGGTGTCCCCATCAGGTGTCCTCCTTTACATCAGGTGTCCCCATCAGGTGTCCCCATTTACATCAGGTGTCCCCATCAGAGTCCCCCTTTACATCCCCCATCAGAGTCCCCCTTTACATCAGGTGTCCCCATCAGAGTCCCCCTTTACATCATCGGAGTCCCCCCCTTTACATCAGAGTCCCCCCTTTACATCAGGTGTCCCCATCGAGTCCCCCTTTACATCAGGTGTCCCCATCAGAGTCCCCCTTTACATCAGGTGTCCCCATCGGAGTCCCCCTTTACATCAGGTGTCCCCATCGGAGTCCCCCCTTTACATCAGAGTCCCCCTTTACATCAGGTGTCCCCATCGGAGTCCCCCCTTTACATCAGGTGTCCCCATCGGAGTCCCCCCTTTACATCAGGTGTCCCCATCGGAGTCCCCCCTTTACATCAGGTGTCCCCATCGGAGTCCCCCCTTTACATCAGGTGTCCCCATCGGAGTCCCCCCTTTACATCAGGTGTCCCCATCGGAGTCCCCCCTTTACATCAGGTGTCCCCATGTCCCCCCCTTTACATCAGGTGTCCCCATCGGAGTCCCCCCTTTACATCAGGTGTCCCCATCAGTGTAACCTCACCCTTCCCCCTTGTACTCACAGATCTTCTAGTGAATGCAGCTTCTCCTTCTTTCCCTCCTTCGATCATGTGATAAGTCCCATGACAAGGGGAGAGAGGAAGGACACTCTGCCTTCACTCCTTAGTGCCTGTCTATTGCCTCCTGCAGGGAGGAGAGAGCCTAGTCCTCCCACCAGCAAGTGTCAGCAGCTGCTCCCTGTGACAGGAGTGAAACTACGATCACTCCAGGCACTGAGGAGTGGCACCAGCAGTGTGCCCCCCCCCCCCTCAACACAGTGCTCGGTGCACGTTGCTGCTGGTAGAGGAAGAAAATAAATAGGATTGTTAAGAGTAGTTTACAGCTAACTTTGTGCCAAATATAATTCTTTACTGTCCCTTTATATTTTGTTTGATGTTCTTTAATCCTGATGCATCTTTTGTTAATAGTGTAGTGTTTTGGTTCGGTGACCTGAACTTTCGAATTGCTGACTTTGGAATCCACTTTATTAGAGAAGTGGTAAACGGTAACAGATATAACTTACTTTGGGAAAAGGATCAGGTAAGTTGATTCATATAAACATTTATTCAGTGTGTGTATTTATGGTGTGTATGTGTGTAATAAATACTTTTTAAAAAAAGTGTGTGTATATGTATGTGTGTGTTTTTTAGTCAGATTCTCTGTCAAGTTTAAATTGCTGTCTGAGGTTCTGTTGTGGAAAATCAGTGACGTAGAATAGCAGGGCTTCCCTGCTCTGTCTGTATCCTTATTGAACATTTCTCCTCGCTTTCTGTCCTGGGTATGAAGGGAAATATTCCTGCAAGAGAAGGAACTGACAAATTAAAAGAAAAAAATGCACACATTGAGCCTGGCACATTAGGTATATGAGCTAGTTGGTATGGCATCCCTACCATGCTGATAACATTTTAAATTCTATAATTGAGTACAACTGAAAGAAAAATTGCAGGTTTGGTTATCTTTACAGATCTAGAGTGGACCAATGTAAATATGCATGTACTGTGTCTGTGGAACTCTCCAGAAACTGGAAATCACTGTAGTAGACATTGGTACTACAGTGATCTCCACTATCTTCTGGGTCTTGTGTTTAGGAAAATATTAGTAACTAGTAAGGGATTAGATTAGCTGTCAGGCTTCTTTTTTGTGTTCCCATTAGGGAGATTCACCTATCTATGTGTCCAGGTGATCAAAAAGTGAAAGAAAATCCCAGATTTTGAGTGGTCGTCAGAACAAGAATAGAGGGGAACCTTAGAGGGATTTTCTCTCACTTCCTATTGTGGCTACTGTATGACAAGAAGTTGTGTGTGTATGTGTGGTTGTTTGTTTTATACTTTTAATTTTGTCTGTAATAAAGAAGTTTTTGTGCGCCACTGATCACCTTCTCCTTTGTTTGATTTATTATTTTTGAGTATTTACAAATTCCCTAGTCCACAACTAGATCTTTTTCTGTTAGTTTCTCATTGGCTTGGTGTCTAGGGTCTCCCGGAATACGTATTTTCGTTTGATTGTATATATTTTGAGGTACCTTGAGGCCTCCTTTTTGGAAGTTTTGCATGACAAGAAGTCAATGAAAATTTCTCCAATGGGAAACAGATGGCAAAGATTAAAAAAAATTTAGAATGCGAAAAGTGTTTTTTATTTTCTACTTTTAACAGACAGATTATGGCTGAGGAGACCTTCAGTAGGCGGTTGTTCAGGTAACCTGTGACCTGAATGCCCTGGGTTTGTAAAAGAGACAAAAGAGAGGCAGACATGTTTGTGAACACTCAAGATGTAGAGGAGAGCCTGAATGTGTTTTGCTGTGGGAGACCAACACATTCTACCAAAGTGTTGTGATGGGAAGGTTGACATGTGTAGATAGGCATCTCAAAGGTCTATTGATGCCAAAAATTCCACTTGCTTTAGAAATGCAGTGACAGATCTTGTTGATTCCCTCTGAAATTTTAGTACAAAGCTTAAACTGTTTAGACATTTTAAGTCCATGATTTGGCGGATGCCCCCATTTGGTTTTGGGACTGAGTAGGTTCCAATTGAAACCTTGAAAGTATTTTTCTAAAGGAACTGGTGCAACCACTCCTTGTGCCTAAACTTTGTGCAAGGCAGTCATTAAATATGCTTTCTTTTGATCTGAAGCAGATAGATTGGAAGGTGAGAAGAGGAGTTAGAAACTTTATTTAGTACCACTTTGAAATAACAAATTGCATGTCTTGGAAGCTGAAATTGCATGTCCAGCATGTCTTGGAAGCAGACTGGCACAAACACCAGCAAATGTCCACCTACTCCTAAAATTGGGAGTTCTCCTTCATAGGAGGGCTTCAGGGTGGGCTTGGGTCCAGGGTTTGCAACAAAAGGATATGCTAAAGCCGGCCATATACTGGTCAAATTCCGAAAGAAGTTTCTTTTAAAAATCTTTTCTAAGAATTTTCGTTTGAATTTCGCAGTGGGTCACAGAAACGGATGATTTTTTACGTGACCATCGAATTTGAGTGTTCGGGCATGTTGGAATTTTTTTTAAAAATGAACGAATTTCAAATCAATGAAGGGAGAATCGTGCAAGAAACATAAAGCTGTGACCTGGAAAGAAAATTCTTGGCCACGAAAATTCTTTTCCATAGCAACATTAGAAAATTGAAGCTTGGTTGGTTGAATTTCGAAATCAATGGTGGCACCATCGGATTACAAAATGCACTAAATTTACAATTTTCTAAAGAAAATTCATTCAGAATTCGACCCATGTATCCTTGGTTTGGAAGTAGATGTCTGGGAAGGGTGAAAAGAACTCCTTCAAGAACAAGTATTATCCGTAGGAATAGGAGACTCAAGCTCCCTCTTGTGGGGGGAAAAAGCCCCTTTTTGCTGCAGTGATGTTCTTGATGAAATTTATCAAGGGATTTGCAAAAAAAAAGACGTATAGCATCAAAAGGCATGTGCAGAAGCACAAGAAGGTTTTAGCAGACCAAACTTTTAGCCACTAAATCCTGTACATAAGTACAAATGAGAGTCATTCTAGAGACTTGACAGATCATTCTCTAGAGTGGCAGCACAAAACAACAATGTTGATGGCATCAGCTGCAATTGTTCCAAGCAATAGTCTGGCCAAGGGACATAGCAGCAATAGCTGTTTGCAAGGCTGGGTCTGCAAGGGCAAATAAGGTCTTTAAGAGGGTTTAAAATGCCTATCAACAGAATCCTTTAAAAGAGGAAACATCCTTGTAAACTGAAATGTTAAATCTTTAGTGATTGTGTTTTGTCTACATTGAAGACTGTTGACTGAGAGCAGTGGCGAGCTGCTGGAAGAGGGTTTGGTGGGTTAATTCAAGTTATGCTCAGCCAATATGTTAGTAATAGGTACCAGCTACTAATGTCCTCCCCTTCTCCTGCAGCCTTCAAGCCATTAGTTACAGAACACCACATGGTGAATCGCAAAACATTGTAGGCCAGCTTTGCACAGTGGCCGGTACACACCAAGGATAACCCGTCTGAAAAACAGCTGGATAGCCCAGGGCATAAGTAGTTAAATCTTGATAGAAGTTTCAGAATTTTTTTTTTTTTTTTTTAGAACTGGTCCATCACAAGACACTGAAAGAAAGGAAAAAAAAAACACTGGAGTTTCCAGGAGTGGACAGGGTTATATGGTATGCTCTGGAGGCAGCCCAGGCAAGTTTTCTAGCAGTGTTCAATCACCTGAAGGTAGCGGCATATATAGTTAGGTCCATTAATATTTGGACACAGGCACAATTTTCATACTTTTTTATCTCTGTATGCCACCAGAATGAATTAAAACAAAACCTTCCAAATGAATTTGAAGTGCAGACTTTCAGCTTTAATTCAAGGGGTTGACCATAAATATCAAGTACAAATTTTAGGAACTGCAACCATTTTTATACACAGTCCCTCCATTTTCAGTGGCTCAAATGTAATTGGACAAATGAATATAGTCCTAAATAAAATGTTCATTTTTAATATTTTGTTGAGAATCTTTTACTGACAATGACTGCCTGAAGTCTGGAAACCATGGACATTACCAAGGACTGGGTTTCCTCCTTTCTGATGCTTTGCCAGGCTCTAACTGCAGCTGTCTTCAGTTGTTTTTTGTTTTTGGGTCTGTCTGCCTTTTTAGTTTTGCCTTCAGCAAGTGAAATGCATGCTCTCAATTGGGTTGAGATCAGGTGATTGACTCGGCCATTGCAGAATATTCCACTTATTTTCCTTCAAAAGCTCCTGGGGTGCTTTTGCAGTGTGTTTTGGATCATTGTCCATGTGTACTGTGAAGCGCCATCCAATCAAGTTTGCTGCATTTGGCTGAATCTGGGCTGACAGTATATCTCTAAACACTGCAGAATTCATCCGGCTGCTTCTGTCTTCTGTCACATCACTAAACACCAATGACCCAGTGCCACTGGAAGCCATGCATACCCATGCCATCACACTGCCTACAGATGACTTTGGATCATGAGCTGTTCCAAGCCTTCTCCACACTTTTTTTTTTTCTTCCCATCATTCTGGTACAGATTAATCTTCGTTTCATCCGTCCAAAGAATGCTTTTCCAGAACTGGTCTGGCTTTTTTAGATAATTTTTGGCAAAGTCTAATCTGGCTTTTCTATTCTTCAGGCTTCTGATTGGTTTACGCCTTGTGGTGAACCCTCTGTATTTGCCGTTGTGAAGTCTTCTCTTGATTGTAGACTTTGGTAATGATACGCCCACCTCCTGCAGAGTGTCCTTCACTTGTCTGGATGTTGTGAATGGGTTTTTCTTTACCATAGTGAGGATCCTGCGATCATCCACCACTGTTGGCTTCCGTGACGTCCATGCCTTTTTATGTTGCTGAGCTCTCCAGTGCGTTCTTCTTTCCTCAGAATGTACCAAACTGTTGATTTGGCCACTCCTAATGTTGCTGCTATCTTTCTGATGGATTTGTTTTGTTTTTTGATGGCCTCTTTCACTTGCATGGACAGCTCCTTTGAATGCATGATGTAGGTTCACTGCAATAGATTCCAAATGCAAATACCACACTTAGAATCAACTTGAGATCTTTTACCTGCTTAATTGATGAAGAAATAATGGAGTAGCCATTACCTGGCCATGAAATGGCCTTTGATTTAATTGCCCAATTACTTTTGGTCCCTTGAAAAAGGGGGGATGGCTAATCTTAAGAGCTGTAATTCCTAAACCCGTCCTCCAATTTGGATGTACATACCCTCAAATTAAACCTGAGAGTGTGCACTTTCAGCCCATATCCATTATATAACTATAGCTTGAATATGTTTTGGTAAATACATGAAAAATCTAAAATTGTGCCTGTGTCCAAATATATATATGGACCGGACTGTATGTACATTTGTTGGGAAGTTTCTAATTTATTGTCCAATTTGTTCTAAGGTCATTACGCTAGCATCATTACCCATGATCTAAGAATACACGTCCTGTACAATTAAGATAGTACAGTTATCCTCTAAATAAGTTTGTGTGAGTATTATCACACAGTTTGGGTTTTTTATTTGTGTGTTTTCATTGAATTACAATTATTTTCAGTGTACTTTATAGAGTTTTCTTGCATTGGCTTCATTCCACTGATGCTGTTTTTTTTTTTTACTACTTTACAGTTAAATATGGCCAAGAAAAAAGAACGGTTTCTGCAAGGTTTTATGGAAGGTCCTTTAAAATTTAAGCCTACATACAAATTTGATCTGAACTCAGATGTGTATGATACAAGGTAAAATTAGAGGTGATGTAGACCTCTGAAAATAATATACATAATTACTTTTGTTGTTACTCATTTATATCTTTTATTTCTAGATGGAAGAAGTCACTGTTTGGATTTAAGTAAGAGTAAAGCATTTTGTATCACTAAACCTAGTTGTAGCGGTTACTAACATATGAAAATCTATAGAATATTGACATATTCAAACATTCACTGTATTTCCCATGTAGATTCTGTAAATAAATCATATTAGACATACATGTTTAGCACTGGCATAGATGGAAATTTAATGTTGGTTTAATACATACAGCATTGTCTTTTTTGTTATCTAGTAGTAGTCTTGTACCATGCCATTGATTAATGCAAAAAGTTTGGTGTTTAAGTGATACCCTTTATTGTCTAACTTCAAACAGACCTGCACTGTATCTGAGCACGACAGACCAAAATGAATGTTTCGGTTTGCCCCAGGAATACAGTATTTTTTCATTTTTGTTGTCATTGAAACTAAATACAATGACTTGATATGTCCTTAGGGAAGTGTAGTTTCTCCACAGAGCAGAGAGGAGACTTGTCCATGGTTCTAAATGTAGCTGCATAAACACCATCTTTTCACCATGCTTGAGTCTCAGTTCCATTTACTTTGTCCTTTTTTTTTTTTTTAAGTCATCTGATCTGTAGGAAATTGCTAGGTATTTGAGCTAATATTTACTACCTTTTTATTAAATGACAGGTTTTTTTTTATTAAGATTTATGTTTTTACCCCAGGACTTATTTATAGCTGGCAGCAGTTAAAAGGGAAATGCTGTTATGTATTAAATTAGCAGAATATGTCATGGACCTTTTAAGGTGACGATATATATACATTCTAAACATTTACTATGTTTCCATTAAGAAAACCCTGGCATGAAACCATACTCATTGCATTACTCTGTTTACGTCCTGCGAGTGCTGCTCAATCAAGGTGATTTCATGCTCTGAGCTCAGTGGATTTCTTAGTACAGGTCAATGGAAGAGAATGTATCAGATGTAGGGGAGACTAGAAATATTTACTGGGTACAGCATGACTGTGACATGTAGTAAGCAAGGATGAAATGCTAGGCTCTTATTAGCATCCTCTACTTTCTCAATACATTGCTATGAAAACTACATCAAAAAGTGTTCAACAGTGCTCACCATGTATCATTTCCATGCTGCATTGAGGAGGGATTATCTCACCAGACTCCTGGATAAGCAAGCTAGATCAAACAGGAGGTTATGACCTGCATCCATTCTGTTCAAAACCAAGTATTCTGTATTGGGTGGAGTTGTTCTTCATAATATACCGATCAGCCATGGCTTTATGACTATCCACCTAATAATGAGTAGGTCCCCCTTTTGTCGCAGGCATGGACTACACCAGACCGCTGACGGAATACTGTACTATCTGGCACTAAGCAGTCAGTGGCAGATGTTTTAAGAACTGTAAATTGCGAGGTGAGTTCTCCATGGATCAGACTTTTTCCAGCACATCCCACAGATGCTCAATGGATTGAGATCTGGAGAATTTGGAGACCAAGTAAACACTTGCTGTTTTGTTCCTCTAACCATTCTTGAAGTGTAGACTGCAGGCCACATTATCCTGCTTAAAGAGGCATCTGCCATCAGGGATTACTGTTTCCATGAAGTTGTGTACTTGGTCAGTAAACATGTTTAGGTAGGTGGTACATGTCAAGTAACATCCATATGAATGGCAGATCTCATGGTTTCCCAACAGAACAAGGCATCACATTTCCTGTTAGCTTGCCTTCTTCTTACAGTTGTGACCAAAATTATTCAACCCCCACTGAAATTGAGTGTTTTGGCCAGTTTGACATTGCTTTTGATCATTCAGTCATCTTGCTTACATTTACATTAAAGAGGCACTTGTAGGTCAGACAAATATAACATAACAGTTATAATGAAATAACCACAAATGTCTTTTCTGTGCTCACAGCATTATCAGTTTTATTCAACCCCCAAGTGACATTCAATCTTAGTACTTAGTACAGCATCCTTTTACAGTTATAACAGCTTTTAAACGTGAAGCATAGCTTGACACAAGTGTCTTGCAGCGATCTACGGGTATCTTCGCCCATTCTTCATGGGCAAAGGCCTCCAGTTCAGTCACATTCTTAGGCTTGCGCACTGCAACTGCTTTCTTTAAGTCCCACCAGAGGTTCTCAATCGGATTTAAGTCTGGTGACTGCGATGGCCCACTCCAAAATGTTCCAGCCTTTCCTCTGCAACCATGCTCTAGTGGACTTGGAGGTATGCTTGGGATCATTGTCCTGTTGAAAGGTCCAACGTCTCCCAAGCCTCAGGTGTGTGACGGACTGCATCACGTTTCCATCCAATATCTCCTGGTACTGAAGAGAATTCATGGTACCTTGCACACGCTGAAGCTTCCCTGTACCTGCAGAAGCAAACAGCCCCAAAGCATGATTGACCCTCCACCATGCTTCACAGTAGGCAAGGTGTTCTTTTCATCATAGGCCTTGTTCTTCCTCCTCCAAACATAGCGTTGATCCATGGGCCCAAACAGTTCTAATTTTGTTTCATCAGTCCACAGAACACTATCCCACAACTTTTGTGGTTTGTCCACATGGCTTTTGGCATACTGCAGTCGACTCTTCTTATTCTTTGGAGACAGCAAGGGGGTACGCCTGGGAGTTCTGGCACGGAGGCCTTCATTACGCAGTGTGCGTCTTATTGTCTGGGCTGAAACTTCTGTACCCACATCTGACAAATCTTTTCTCAGTTCCTCAGCAGTCACACGGGGACTTCTCTCCACTCTACGCTTCAGGTAGCGCACAGCAGTCGAAGTCAGCATCTTCTTTCTGCCACGACCAGGTAGCGTTTCAACAGTGCCCTTTGCCTTGAATTTGCGAATGATGCTTCCTAAGGTGTCTCTTGGTATGTTTAACATCTTTGCAATCTTCTTATAGCCATTGCCCTTCCTGTGAAGAGAAATCACCTCTTCTCTTGTCTTCCTGGACCATTCTCTTGCCTTCACCATGTTTGTAACCACACCAGTAAATGTCTAGAAGGAGCTGAGTATCACAGTCATTTTAAAGCTGCCTAATTGGTGCTTATTATGCTTGATTGCTGCTCGGTGACATCCACAGGTGTTTTCAATACCTGATGGAAAGCACCTGTATGAACCTCTGTTCTTCAGAGTGGTAGTCTTTAAGGGGTTGAATAATTGTGGCAATGAAGAAACCACATAAGAACCATTTACTACTGTATTACATAAACAATTGATGTCATTTTAGTTGCATTTGGGTAGTTACAACGTCCTTGTAGGATTTGATTCTGAATACAATTCCAAATGTACACTATAGTCCCTAAACCCCTTTACAGCATTGGGGGTTGAATAATTTTGGTCACAACTGTATAATGTATCCTGGTGCCATCTTTTCCCTAAGTAAACGACATATATGCACCCGGCCATCGTGATGTAAAATACAAAGTGATTCATCAGTCCAGGCCTCCTTCTTATGCTTTTCAGTCAAGTTCTGATGCTTTTGTGCTCATTGTAGGCGCTTTTGGCTGTTAACACGGATCAGAATGGACAACATGACGGTCTGCAGCCCCATACACAACAAACTGCAATGCCCATTTTTCTGCTTTCAGTACATCTACTTCAGGAACAGCATGTTTACTGGTTGCTTAATATATCCCACTTACTTGTAGATGCTATTGTAACGTGATAATCAGTGTTATTCACTTAGTCATTGGTCATAAAGTTATGGCTGAACGGTGTAAATGCCATAGAGCAGGAGTAATGGTGGTAGATTTTCATGCCAGAACTTAATGGGAAGTGAGGACAGGTAAATGCATGTCTGATATGCTTGTATGTGGTTAAACTGATCAGGCCCTGCCTTCTTTAACATGCAGTCTTGTACCATGGGCAGCTGCCTGTTTACCTCCCATTTGTTTTTCCAAACATATCCTTATCGCTATTTAAAACTAACCCACTATTTGTGTGTTTCTAGGGTAAGGTTTGATTATTATACAGTTGATTTGACTGATAAAGTATTTTCACAGGCTGGTATCAGAGCCCTCTACCCCAATCACACAGTGAGGCCAATAAGACTATGATACAAAGTTGTTATTGGCTATACATGACTCTATTTAGAAGTGATACAATCAATTACAGTGATAGTGTAGTAGCTTGTCTTTATAAGCATGTTCCTGACTGCCCACAAAAGTAGCATACCCCAGAAGTCGATCCGGCTATACCTCCATGATCATAGGGCATGTCTTCAAATCACATTAACCAGAATGCTGTTTGCATTGTTTAGGCTGCTGCTGCTACGGTGCTCAGACAGTGCTGGGAACACCACAAATAACATATGCATGTTTTTTTGCATCGAGCAATAAAAAAGCACTTCCAGACATCAGAAATGCCAATCATCACACATATAGATCTCTGTGGTCACTGTGGAATAATCCCTATTTATGAGTTCAAAAGGGAGCAGTCCCTGTATCTTGCATTGTCTGCATTCAGGCTGTGGCTAAATCAGGGATAAATATTACAGCATTTTGAGTAGGCAAGCCATAGATGAATCCATTTTCTTTCCTTCCGCCATAGAAAATTGCTCGATTTCCCCACAACACAGTCAGTCAGGGGGGCTTCATGGCTGGTAGAACATAATGGTTACTGCTAGCGGTCGTAGCCACAGATGGTAATCACATGCTAAAAATACGACATGCTGGTTGTACTGAAATCGATCAATGGATCGACTTGGGTACAATCAGCCTGCCCAAGGGTTGATCGAATCGTAGCCGATACCTGCTGAGATGCGATCTGTCTATGGCCGGCTTTAGTATGGGCAGATCTCTTAGCAGGATTTATTGCAAATCTAAATGATAACTCCTGACTAATTTATGTGGCACATGTCATTTCTTTCATTTCATAAACAATACTGTTTGCAAGCCTAGACCTTTTAAAAGACAAGTTTGGAATTTTTTTTTTTTTTTTTGTAATTATACATACCTAGGTTAATCGATGCTGCACTTGCCCCCCCCCCCCCCCCCCCCAGCTCTTAGGCTAAGAACTGAGAAATCAGACACTGCTGATCGTTCAGTTCTCCCTGCCGCTCTGAGCTGAGACTGTCAGTCACCGCTGTCTGTTCTGTTACAATTGAACGCTGGGCTGTGTTGGTGGTGGGAGCTGCTTGCTCAGGCTCTTGTTGGATTGCTGAGAGCCTGAGCCAGGTGTCGGTCCAGGCTCGTGGGTGGATCCGAACTATATGGTCGCAATCTTTCCCCAGCCTGGACCAGCTGATTGGTGTCAGCCGACTGCGGACTTTAGCCTACTGTAGGCTGAAAACTGGTCACAGGAGTGCAGAATGAACTGCACTCCTATGATCCACAGGATAGGTAAAGCCAAACCAGCTTTGGCTGTACTTCTCCTTTAACCTCCTTAGCGGTTTTCCCGAGTGTAGCTCGGGGTAAAATGTCAGTACCAAGAGCGGTAACCCCGAGCTACACTCGGGTTTACCCTGCGGCGTTGCTCAGGGGGTCCCTGCAGCACTTACCTTGTCCTTCGCTCCCGCGATGTGTCCCCTGTAGTGCCCCGGCCATCTCCTCCGGCCGATGCCGGCATCCGGCTTCCGTGTTCCAGTCCCTGTGACGTCAGGACATACGGGCGCCGGAACCGGCGGGAAATTTGAAATTTTTTAAAAATGTCATTTTTGCTGTTTCAATGCATTTCACATATATTTTGTCCCTACTGCTTTGTCCAGTGCCCTGCCTGCATTTTGACTGTTCTTTCTGCCTGGAAACTTAGAAAAGTCCATGGCGTCCAAAAACGTCCCTTTACGGCAAAAGCGGTTTTAGAACAGCGATAGTAAATCAGAACCACTTGCAGAAACGAGTGATAATGATTCGTGGGGAAATTCGTCATCAGACACTGAAAACGATTTTGCGACTTTGCTCAGCGATGTGCGAATTTGCCTCTGTATTTCAAATTTCAGTGTTTTTGGTTTGATTATAATATTGAATTAAATTTATTATATTATTTTTTATGATTATTTATTAAATTCTAATTTATGATTTCGTGTTTCAAGTTTTATCATATCCGGAATGTTTACTAGACTCTTGTTCGGACAGATTTTTAGTGAGTTATTCCTAAAAATTACAGGCCTACAATAAAAAAAACTACATGTTTCCATGCAAAAAAATGGTACCGCTTTCAGCACAAAAAATTGGAACGAATCATACCGTCAAGGAGGTTAAGGCAACCTGTTATTTTGTTAACATATAAAATAAACAAATTCGTGCAGCTCCTTCCTATTAGTCCTCATGCACACTGGATGTTTTTACAGCGGCTGTGTTTGGTTTTGACGCTTTTTTCCGCAGCCAGTAAACTCCCCAGCATGTTATCCTATGTGTCCATGCACACACAGACTGTAATCAACATTTTTTGGCTGAAAAAAACCCCAAGGACTAGTGGGTTTCTAGAGGAGTTTTTTAGCTGTAAAAACACCCCAATGCTGAAAAACACAGTAAAACGCTGCAAAGCAGCATTTGTGGAGGGTTTTTTGACCAAAAAAAAAATGTCTTTTGGTTAAAAAAAACTGATAAAAAACACAAACATGGGAAAACACTGCTAATGCAAAAACGCTGAAAAACTCTCGTTTTTAACGTGATTTTACATAGCGAACGTTACCAGCGTTATTAAAACGCCCAGTGTGCATGGAGCCTTAATATACACCACTTACAATCCTAATCCCAAACCTAAAAATTCATAAATATACACAAATTGACAAAAAGAGCATGTGCAAAATAGTGAATATATAAAGTCCCATATATCTTGATACTCCTTTGCTCTTTCACCACTTCATAACGTCATGAGGCATAAACCAGTGTTCCTCCACCAATACCCAGATTGAGCTCTCCCCTGGAGCTTTTTGACCTCACATTATACAATGCTTTGGTCACACCATGCTTGTGTCCTCTCAAAGAGTCTGGATAGAATGAGGCTTCCCCTGGTGACACTCCTTGTCCCACCGCAGACTTAGTCTTGTGTCTCCTTCTCCTCCTCCTTCCAATGGTCCATTTAAAAAAACGGAATAGGCTATATTGAATATGGCCAAAATTGTAGCTTTTCAAATATGTCAATATATTTGGGAAAAATATATATTTTTTAAAATCTATTTCAAATATATTTTTCTTCCATATGTTGTGGATCTGTATGTGTTAATAAAATTTTATTTTGCCACTATCCCCTTAAAACATAAAGAATGCCATTTCTGGATGTTAAGGAGTAGTGGTTGCCTGCTGGAAGGTGTTAGGAGTGGACTACTACATAGACTCTGGCAGCAGCACATATATATTTTTCTAAGATTTTTTTTTATTTTTAGCTGCACAGGGGTGATATTGCACTTTAGGATCTCTTTGCTACTACTTACTTGAACCTAGTTTAAAATGTGTCACTGCATAATGTTTATTTTCCCTACGCTATTGTATTGCATTCTTCAAATTAAAAATGTAAAAAAAAAAAACCAAAAACGGAATAGGCTGAAATAGTGCTTTATCGTTTATAACACTTCATTTAAAATAAGATAAAATATGCCACTCACAAGATATTGGTGCTAGATTGCACCAGATATAAACCGCATAACCGCAATACACTTCCTCCGTAGTCCTTCTTCTGATCTCGTGTTGCGCCGTGACGTCAGCTAGCCCCTCCCCATTTTTCGCTTGGTTGCTCGCAGGATTATCATACACAATATTACAAACATATATATTATTGCTGAAGGGCAAAGTTTGCAAATACTTGTCTTACAAATCATTTTGTGAGCAGTTGGGGAGCATCCCACAATTTGTGCCCAGATGAGCCTGAGCTCTGCCATAACTAAAGACCATCTGACAATTTAAAAAAAAAAAAAAAAAAAAAAGTACTGTTATTTCCTGCTGGTGCACTGGTATTTGCTTGTATGAGGGCCACAGCTCCAGGTTGTATCTAAATTCCATGTCTATGAGGAGCATGAAAAAGCAATGCATGGTGGTTCTGATCTCCGTTTACGATCATGAAAAAAAATCTTCAAGTGTTCAGTTTATGACTGAGTGCCACTAGTATTAAAATTGTCAAATCAACGTGTTTGGATTGATCATGGTTTGTCTAGACACCTTGATGTATCCTGAACAATGTGTTTTATTTTCTAGTGGGAAAAAACGAAAACCAGCCTGGACAGATCGCATTCTTTGGAAGTTAAAGGAGGTTTCAGAAAGTGAACAAGAAGAATCTGCTGGCTCTGAATTTGAGCATATCTTAAAAGTTCATTTAGAAAAATATACAAGCCACATGAGCTACGGTATCAGTGACCACAAACCAGTGACAGGCACTTTCACTTTGCAGGTAATTAACAGGAACCATTTTTTCTATATTGGCCAATGTTATTGAATGTTAACTGGTAGCTACAAATGAAAAGTCAGACATTGTCCACAATCTCCTGCCCCTATCACTCTCCAATGTGACTTTAAATATTACCAATTTTCTCCTGTCCTTTCTTTATATGTAAAAAGTAATGTTTTTACCCTTACATGCAGCGTTTAATTTGTAACATAGTCATTAACTGCACTATTAAATGCAGCTAGAAAAAGTACCTAAACCTGCACTCAGACTGGGGGACATAGACAGTCTGATATGCTGTAATGAACACATTCTACATGTTGACAGGAGAAGTGAGTAGAGGGATAAACTCACAAATATTCTGCAACTCCTTCACTGTCCAGAAAGGCCTGAGAGCAGGGAGGTCACCAACCTTGTTTTTTTCTACCTAGCAGAGCTGTGTAAATCTCAAGCATGGATGGACATGAATACAAATGTGTTTTTTTTTTTTTTTTTTTGGCAGTAAAAATGCTCCCATATTTGTTTCTTAGCTGAGCATTCCATTATTGGTGAAAAGCAGGTCTATGATTTTACTGAACAGCCAAAGGCAGATTTCAAATGGAAATGAGGATTTTTTTTTTTACAGGAAAAACTGGGTATTTGGAGGAATCTGTCAAAGCTAGAAGAAAGCAAATGCATTTATATTGCATTGATCACTGAACGCTTAAAATCTGCTACTAAAACCAGCTATAGATTTATTTTGCTACTTTTTGGTTTGACCTTTTGAAATTGAATTTGTCAGCAGTCCTTTTCTTTATACTTTGCATGTGTTTAGGGGACAACTTAAGCCTGGTGCACACATTAAGTTGTGTTTTTTTTTTTTTTTTTTTTTTGTGTTTTTTTAAATCCAGTGGGCTGAATGGAAAAAAAAAACTGAGGGATCACTGTACTAAACAAGTGATGTCAATACAGCGATCTCTCCTACTGTGCCTTTGTGTTCTGACAGGGGGACTACCCCCTTGCCAGCTAAAGCCAATGGCTACAAGCACTGATTTCAGCATGTCTCTTTGACAGAAGCCAGTCCTTAGACCGGCTTCTTTTGAAAAGACGGTTGTACACTTGCTCTGAATATCAGCTGGTTCCTGCTGTACTGGCCAATATTCAGACCATGTGCACCCAGCTTTAGCTGAAAGGGAAACTTATTTATCTTTTACACTTGACTTTTACAGATGAGGCCTCTTGTTCTTGAACCTCCAGTGACTCTGAGAGCGGAGGGAGAATGGAATGCTGACCACGACTCTCTCATTAGCTATTCTGTGAGCAAGGATTTTCCCAGTAGCACCTGGGATTGGATTGGTCTTTACAGGGTATGTAAGAAAAATGTTTTAGAATTTTGAAATTGAGTACATGTACAAATAATCATATTTACAGATGTTGGATTTCAATACACCTTGACAAGGTAAAGATGTTCTCCAAGCTGCGCTGGGACCGGTGAGTTGGGTTGGTTTGGGATAATTCACCCCTTTTCTTCCCCAGGCCAATTTTGCGCTGTCACACTTTGAATGCCAATTACTCATGCAGCGCTGTACCTAAAATAAAATTTTCTATCATTTTTTTAAACCGATTTCTTCTAGTGATACTTAATTATCACTATATAAAAAACATGTAGTGCAGCACTAAAGTAATATTTGTAATATACAATATGAATGGTCACTATACGTAAAAAATGATTACGGCATGTGAATATGGATAATGTCCATGTAACCATCTATACGGAAGAGTGGTAAATGTCCCCACAATAGTGAAAATTATTCCAAAATTAAATTCAACAGGTGTATCGATAGGTGACTTCTCTTAATCCCAGTGAGAACTGTAATCCGGTGACGTGTGGGAAGAAATGATAAGATTGCACACTCACCAGAGGCGCAATATAAATGCACATTTAAGTCAGATATGCCCGATGTCCCCTCTGTTCTGGGAAAGGTGCAGCCTGGAATGGACTGCCACTTCTATAACTTCTAGAGGTCCCCTTAAGGTCTGTGGTGAGGGTCTGCAACAGGTGTCTCTCCTCTGGGCCCTGGGATGGTCACCTTGGGTTCCTGGGGGATTACGTGCAGAGGCGCAATATAAATGCGCATTTAAGTCAGATATGCCAGAGGTCCCCTCTTGGTGATGTTAGTTGTAAGATTGAAAAGAATACGAGAACTCACTAGAGGAATTCTTCATCAAGTTGGGGAAAACACAAAGCCATTCTGGATCTGACAAGCACAGACAAGCTATCTTCACGGCCATACAAGAACGTACAGATCAGGAAGCTACGATCTGATAGGGCTGATTCCTATCAGATCGTAGCTTCCTGATCTGTATTACAAATCTTATTTTAGCGCTGCACTACATGTTTTTATATAGTGATAATTAAGTATCACCAAAAGAAATTGGTTTTATAGAAGGTTATATGGTTTCCCTGTTAGTGTTCTAGCCGCTTTTTCAATTTTAAGCACTCGCTGAACCTGAATTTTTACATTCACTTAATTATCACTGTTTTTCTCTCTAATTTATTTTGTTTTAACATTTTTCATATAAATAATCTACCTTCATAAATTTAGGCCAGAATGTATTCTGCTACATTTCTTTGGTTAAAAATAACCCAAATCCGTGTACAATATTTAGTACTGATGGCCCATTTTAATTTCTTAAGTCCTTTAAATGCCAGGACAGTACAAAAGACCCCTTTTTAGAGAGTATACAGTCCAAGGTATTTAGTAAGAGGCATGGTGAGTTTTTTGACGTTGTGATTTCTTTTTTGTCACAATTTTCATTTTCACATACAGTTACCAGAACACTACAGCATTGTGTATGACTGCTGTGGTGGTAATCGGGGATACTGACTGGTGACAGTATGGACACAGCAGGTGACAGATTGCGCCACAGTGTGGCCGTGACTGGAAGGACGTCATATGTTGACCACCCCGGATGGGAGAGCTCCTGCTCTCGGCCATCATTTAACTATAGGCTGGGCAGGAAGTGGTTAAGCTCAGGTCTGGTTTTACTTTAAAGGGTTAGTTAATGTTTTCATCTTTTCTGAAAAAGTTAACTAACACTCTGCATCCTCCACACACCTCCCAGTCCCTGCTGTACTTGCCTCCATGGGTGATTAGCTCTTCTTCTCTCTATGTCTGTAGGGCTGCTAGGACAGATCAGAGAGATTCTGATTGCTCAACCCCCCACTTGACCAATGACCATGACCACTTTGACTGGGGGTCTGCAACCAGTAGATCTCAGCCAGGTGAGCGGTAGATCGTGGTCTGGGCTTGCTGACACCCCATCTCAGAGCATCAAACAGAGTGCAACACAGAGAGACTACTTGAAAAGTTGCAGCTGTAGTAGGGAGCAGGAGCCTCTGCAGTGCTGGCTCCTGTCCCATGCGGAGTGATACCAACTCCACTTCTTATCTCGGCTAGCTGTCTCCAAAGTGGTGTCAGGAGCAGGAAAGAAGAGATTGTGAGGTCAGTGTGAAGCAATACACTGGGCATAATAATATAGGGCTGCTTTCACACTGATGTGCTACGGTTTACCTACACCGTGGCTTTCCTGCGGGTTTGCTGGGCTTAGCCATAGACTTCTATTATATCCTGCGGGTTTGGTGCACCTTTTTGAAAGCACATCAAAACTCCTGAACACAGGAGTTTTGTTGTGGATTTAGAAAGTGCGCCACACCTGCAGGATATAATACAAGGTGGTATCAAAAAGTTTCAAGACTAGTTTTGTGACACACCAACAGATGGCAGCTCGCACAGTCACAAGGAGCAACGACCTTCATAAGTGAGTTTGCTAAAAGACATTGTCCTGTCTACATCAGGAGCTGTGCAACTGGTGCTATTCTGATCACGTGTGTTACCACATGTGCTATACAATCATGGACAGCAAGTTAGAACAAATGGCAAACATGAAGTTCTACGTGAAACTGGGCAGATCTGCCACTTTGACATGATTCGGCAAGTTTACAGTAATGCTGCAATGAGTTGTTCAAGAAGTTTTGAGTGGCACATGCACTTCAAGAGCAGAAGAATATCCTGGAAGATGAGAGATCAGGGAGACCTTCAATGAGCTCAGCACACTAAAATGTCCTCTTCCCGAAGATGAAGATCCAGCTCAAAGGTCACCATTTTGACAACATTGCGGAAATACATCAATTTTTCCAGCGATCCAAGTGTGTTTTTACAGGTGATGAAGAGGCAATATGTTGCCTCCCCACCACCTGATTTAAACCCATGTTTGCTATGCAAAGCACACGATTGCGACACGGTAGTACGGCAATTAGAGGTTTAAATCAGATGTAGGTAGGTGACACTGGTGATCTTTGATTTCTTCGATGATGCTCAGGTAGATCTCCACCTCTTTAAGGTTGCCTACCCCTGACTTTGACCAATTAGAATCACTCTGATCCGTGATCCACCCAAGAAACCCTATAGAAAGAAGGGAAAGAAGAGTGAGGTTTCAAATTCCTGGACCGATACAGGCACAGTTATTCAACCATGGTGGTAAGTGCAGTGGGGGATCTGGGGGGGAGGGTGTTTTAAGGTGAATACACACTTCAACAGATTAAACAGCTAGTTATTGGCAACCTAATGATGAAGTTGAAAGAAAGATACACAACCCATCAAGGTAGAAATCCAATCTGATGTGTCACTTTGCGTAGGTACAAATGTCTGAATTTTGAAGTTAAGAATCAAGGTGTTATGCAATGCATGAGTGTATGTGCATACATTTAGCTTTGTGTGCAGAGCCTTGTGTTGCCAGTGACTGATCCTTTCCTGCTCTCTATGGAGGTAATCATTTTATTTGGCATTCACTACATTGTATGTTACCCTTGTCAGTGAGAAAATTTGTGTCCGGCTGCCCTGGTCCTCGTGATGGTAAAAATTGCTTGAGAAACTACAAACCTAGGCCTATCCAAGAGTTACTTGCCTGGTTGTGAACTGAAAAACCAGGAATATGCGTAGTAATAATAAAAGACATATGTGTTTTGGGTTTTCATATCTCTCCTCAATGTCTTAAAATAGTTTTGCAACTTTTTTCAAAGCAAAATTTCTGTAGCGGATTTTGTAGTTAAACTATTTTTTTATTTAACTAGGTTGGATTTCGACATACAAATGATTATGTCACTTACGCCTGGGTTAAAGATGATGAAATCTCCTTTAGCAAAGATTGTAACCAGGTGAGAGTATTTCGTTGAATGTTGTACTTTGTATATTTTCACATATAGTTCACATCTTGGTAAGTGTGGAAACATCAGTCACTGTTGTCTCTTTATTCAGCTGACCTTTTATTCTAAAGTCCCTCACCTTGTAGTTCAGAGTCCTGTTCTCCTCCTGCAGATTTCACTTTATCACAAATCCCCAAAACAAGGGCTTTATTATTTTAGAATAGTGATTGGAGCCATGCACATAGACTCAGCAGAAGCCCTCCTTGCCCAAGACCTTTAAATAATCAACTTTGAAGCTTTGTTCAAGGGACCTTATGAAGGCCTTTTCATTTCGCTGTCAAATTCCTTTTCACAGCTGGAATCCCACTCACCAGAAAACCTCAGTTATGCATTGAAAACATTTTTGGAGAACTTCAAATTTCACTTAAGATTAAGATCTAAAGAGTGATGTTATAGAGAACTGTATAATTTCAAATCATATGACAACTGGATTTTACAATGTAGCATTTGTCTTTTCTCACTAAACAAAGTATAGTATAAAAGAGTGCAGGCTTTATTACCACAAGAAGACTGGTTGTTTAAAGGAACATGCCTATAAAACCATGACCTTTTTACTATGCTGAACTTGTCCTTGTAATATAAAATGTAATATTTTTAGTTGACCATGAAGAAATAATAAATATTACACAGGGGCCATCCAATTTTAATTTACTAGTGTGCTCAAAACTCATTAAATAAACATATACATATATATTGAGTGCTGTGTGGTTATCCTGTAAGTATTGTGGGATCATTTAAATGGTATCTAAACTGGAGAATAAAAATGTTTTATATATTGCAGCTTACCAGTCTTTGGATATCATGGCTGCATTCATTTCTATTCTTCAGGTTAAGAACATTTTCAGCAAGTACAGAAAAGACATGCTTATCAAGAATTTCTGTGCCATTGTCACTTCCTGCGAGCTGCACTAAAAGCACAATGTTATCTTCCTTATGTAAACTACTAATCTCTCCAACCCCATGTAATACAAAAAAATCTGGGCAGATGTTAGAAATCCTGCCTAAATGACAACCAAGGCTTCCTCCATAGAGGCAGTGTAGCAGTGAGCCATCTAGGAACAGGAAGTGTGTTATTTGGAAGTTTACCAGATGCAAATAAAACAAAAAAAGCTAGAAAAAAAAGAACACTGATGTTTAGTTTTGGGTTTAGATACCCTTTAAGCAAAAGTCTATGTTGGAAAAAGATCCAGTAGTTCCATATTTTATTAGATGCGATTTTGAAATGTTCACCAGCATGAGTTTGCTTTCAAACAAAGTTGCATCCGAGATTTAGAAGGCAATTTACGTATGACTGGTACACTTGTTCATTTTGTGATATTTATATTGTAAGCTCCACGAGCAGGGCCCTCATATTCCTTCTGTACTGAAATGTATTGTAATGTCTGCCTTATATTGTAAAGCGCTGCGCAAACTGTTGGCGCTATATAAATCCTGTATAATAATAATACTAATAATATTCATGAGATTCTTTTAATTTCAGTGTTCATTTATCTTCTAGGTTTACATTAGCGCTGATGAGATTCCTCTTGATGGGGGTGAATTTGTTTTGTGCTACTCCTGTCACAATTTGCAGTGTTTGGCTGGTATTAGTGAGCCCTTTCAGGTACACAACTTAACTGTTTGTGGAAATCATCATACCTAATAATGTGTACATTGACCATTTCAGTAAAATGATGGGAAGAACACAGGGGAGGTGTAATGCAAAGCAGCCAATCAGCAGGCAGCTTTTTTTCAGCTGATGATTCATTTTGCTGACACACATTTATCTATTGTACTTTATTTAATCTATGTTTGTCCACATTTGCAGTCTGTGACGCTTCATCATTCCATTATATGTAAAACCATTACCTCCCTTACCATTTATTTATTTATTTTTTGAGGTCTATGAGATTAATCTGTACACAAAAGAACCTGTTGACTCACAGAACAAAATGATTGCTGGGATCTTCCTATAGTGACTATAAAGTGCATCTGCTTTAGATTCCCATCCACTACAGCTGAATGGCAGCTATTTTGAATGCCCCACACTCAGGCACTTTTTGTGATGGAACTCACCTCCCCCCTCGCACACATTCCTGTTTGTCAAATGGTGGTTCAGGGTTAAAGAAAAGTGTGGAGCGGGAAAGTTCTGCCACTACCTGGAATAGTTGTAGGTCTTATTCAGCATGGCTGGCATTCAGCTATAGCAGATGTGAATGAGAGATGCTGCAGAGTCATAAAATGATAGATGTGCAGCAAAATTAAATGTGCACATGGGAAGCATGTTCTATTTTTTTTTTAGAATTTTCCACTAACTGTACTTTTTTTTTAGTAGTAGATGTCATAGTATAACACATACCTGTTTGTACAAGCAAGTGAAATAACCTGTACTAAATGTACTGCCTGAACAGGAATGCAGGGGTTGTTTGCTATATACACCCCACAGACTTTCCTTAGGCAAGCCATACATGATACCCCCCATCCACACATTCAATGCAGATAGGGGAATCACTCCTACTGAGCTATTGTAGTCTGACAGCCTAAGCCTTCACCACTAGTAGGATACAATGAGCAGTGTTGCTGGCTATAGCCAGTGGCACTGATCTTTTGAGAAATCCCAACAAGCTACTTGTACACAATCATTTTTTTGGTTATCACAAGGGATGAACAACATCCCCTGTGGTATACTCAAGCAGTGACATGTCCTCTTTATGGAGAGATCTGTGGTCTGTGCTTTTCACAGGCTAGTACCGGTCCATTTACCTTACTCCAAAACCGGAAGTGAAAAAATGCTTGCTGCTTCTGTTTTCTTAGACCAAAGAGATGATTGTGGAAGTTCCAGACCTCGGTCATCTCTATGGTCAGGCTTCAGTTGCAGGCTCCCCAGTGGGACAGGAGAGCTCGGGAAGGCAGCGGGAGGGGGGCACCCCCTTCTGCTGCCTGTAAACGCGATCCAGCAGCTAATTAGCTGCTAGGATCACTTTTACATTAAAACCCATTGCCAGCTGCAAAAAAAAAGATGCCCATGATAATGCCTGTAGCTGTGGGCATAATCCTGGTATAATCCCTTCAACCTGGCAACATATGGGTACATCACTGAGGCTGAAGTGGTTCAAGGTGGTGTTTTTCACCCTTAAAGTCACATTTTTATTTGGCCTTTTTCTTTGTTTCTCTGCAATTTACAGGAATGTGGTGTTGACTCTATCCACCAAAATACCTTATGTGTGTGTGTGTACACACACACACAGTGAGGAACAGAAGTAGTGTAACACCCTGCGATTTTGCAAGTTCTCCCACTTAAAAATCATGGAGGGGTCTGAAATTCACATTGTAGGTGCATTCCCACTCTGAGAGAAAGAATTGGAAAAAAAAAAAAAATCAGGAAATTACATTGTGTTATTTTTAAAGAATTTATTTGTCTTGCACTGCTGAACATAAGTATTTGAACATCTGAGAAAATCAGTGTTAATATTTGGTACAGAAGCCTTTGTTTGCAATTACAGAGATCAAACGTTTCCTGTAGTTCTTGACCAGGTTTGCACACACTGCAACAGGGATTTTGGCCCACTCCTCCACAGAGATCTCCTCTAGATCTGTCAGGTTTCGGGGGTGTCGCTGAGCAACACGGAGTTTCAGCTCCCTCCAAAGATGTTCTATTGGATTTAGGTCTGGAGATTGGCTAGGCCACTCCAGAACCTTGATATGCTTCTTATGGAGCCACTCCTTGGTTATCCTGGCTGTGTGCTTCGGGTCGTTGTCATGTTGGAGGACCCAGCCACGACCCATCTTCAGTGCTCTGACTGAGGGAAGGAGGTTGTTGCTCAAAATCTCACAATAAATGGCCCCATTCATCCTCTCCTTAATACAGTGCAGTCGTCCTGTCCCCTTCACAGAAAAGCACCCCCAAAGCATGATGTTACCACCCCCATGCTTCACAGTAGGGATGGTGTTCTTGAGATGAAACTCATCCTTCTTTTTCCTCCAAAGACGATGAGTGAAGTTTAGACCAAAAAGTTCTACTTTGGTCTCATCTGACCACATGACTTTCTCCCATGCCTCCTCTGGATCATCCAGATGGTCATTGGCAAACTTCAGACGGGCCTGGACATGTGATGACTTGAGCAGGGGAACCTTCCGTGCAATGCATGATTTGAAACCATGACGGTGTAGTGTTCTACCGACAGTGACGTTTGAAACTGTGGTCCCAGCTCTCTTCATGTCATTGTCCAGCTCCTTCCTTGTAGTTCTGGGCTGATTCCTCACCTTTCTTATCATCAGTGATACCCCACGAGGTGAGATCTTGCATGGAGCCCCAGTCCGAGGGAGACTGACAGTCGTCTTTAGCCTCTTCCATTTTCTAACAATTGCTCCAACAGTTGATCTATTTTCACCAAGCTGCTTGGCAATTGCCCCATAGCCCTTTCCAGCCTTGTGGAGGTCCACAATTTTGTCTCTGGTGTCTTTTGACAGCTCTTTCGTCTTGCCCATGGTAGTAGTTGGCGTCTGACTGACTGTGGGGTGGACAGGTGTCTTTAACCTCCCTGGCGGTATGATTATTTCAGATTTTTGGTGCTGAAAGCGGTACCATTTTTTTGCATGGAAATATGTATTTTTTTTATTGTAGGCTGTAATTTTTAGGAAAAACTCACTGAAATCTGTCCGAACAAGAGTCTAGTAAACATCCCGGGTATGATAAAATTTGAAACACAAAATCATAAATTATAATTTAATAAATAATCATAAAAATAATATAAAAATAATAAAAAATTTAATTCAATAATATAATCAAACCAAAAACACTGAAATGTGAAATAGAGCGCCAAGTTCGCACATTGCTGAGCTCAGTCGCAAAATCGTTTTCAGTTTCTGATGACGAATTTCCCCCACGAATCATTATCACTCAATTCTGTAAGTGGTTCTGATTTACTATCGCTGTTCTCTAGCTGATCTAAACCGCTTTTGACCTAAAGGGACACTTTTTGGATGCCATGGACATTTCTCAGTTTCCAGGCAGAAAGAACAGACAAAATGCAGGCAGGGCGCAGGACAAAGCACTAGGGACAAATATGTATGTGAAATTGGTTGAAACAGCAATGTTTTACTGTGTAAAATGAAAAAAAAAAAAAAAAATGACATTTTTTTAAATTTTTAAATTTCCCGCCGGCGCCCGTACGTCCCGACGTCAAAGGGACAGGACACAGAAGCCGGATGCCGGCATCGGCCGGAGGAGATGGCCGGGGACGCTGCAGGGGACACATCGTGGGAGCGCAGGGTAAGGTAAGTGAAGAACACATGCCGGAGCAGCGCCGCATGGTATTCCCGAGTGTAGCTCGGGGTTACCGCTTTTGGTACTGAAATGTTACCCCGAGCTACACTCGGGAATACCGCCAAGGAGGTTAAAGAGCTCAGACAGGTGCTACTAAGTTAGATTGAGTGGAGTAGAGGTGGACTTTTTAAAGGCACAGTAACAGGTCCTTGAGAGCCAGAATTCTTGCTGTTTCTTAGGTGTTCAAATACTTATGTTCAGCAGTGCAAGACAAATAAATTCTTTAAAAATCATACAATGTGATTGCCTGAATTTTTTTTTTTTTTTTAATTCTGTCTCTCAGAGTGGGAATGCACCTACAATGTGAATTGCAGACCCCTCCATGATTTCTAAGTGGGAGAACTTGCAAAATCGCAGGGTGTTCAAATATTTCTGTTCCTCACTGTGTGTGTGTGTATATATGTGTGTGTGTGTGCATATATATATATATATATATATATATATATATATATATATATATATATATATAAGAACTGAAAATGTTGTACAGTCAACACAAACTATGGTCATTTTCTAAGTTGTCACAGATGCCTGCTGATCTAATTTCCAACTTTTGCATGTTTCTATTTCATATAGATCCAGCCTGGTCGGTCCTTACCGGGAAAAGATGGGTCGCAGGGAAGCACTGATGATTCCACCAAGTCAGACATGTTTATGGGTTCTGGGTTCTAGGGCTCCATTGACGTGTGGAGAAGTCCTGCCAGTAACATTTGTATATGGAGTCCACTCCTGCTTTGCAGCACTGTGGTGAGGTGCTGAAGTGGAGCAAGTGCTTTGCTGTAATCTCAGCAAAATGGCTGTTTACATCCTTAGAGGAAACAGAATGCATTTCTCTAACACTGGATGAAGTAGAACATATTTGGACTGTAACAAAATTAGTCTGGACTAGTTTCAGATTTTAAGAGCAAGACTTTATTTTGAGATTTTTATTCTTCTTTTAATTGATGAATGCTTGATGAGTGGACTGTTTAGCCTTATGCACCTTTAGCCTAAAGCCATATCATCCAACAACTAGCACCTGTTTCTTGAATCTTTGTGATAGCTGGATCACTGCAGTTAAAACTCTTTTTTGCTGATATTTTCCATTTTAGGTAACAAAGCAGTTACGTTTACAAACATGCATCTTTTTCTTATGGTTTACAGAGCATTTTATCATGGCACCCTTCTGTAAAATAGTAATTTATTTATAGAAAAACTTTGCTCATCAGTATTTCAAATCGGCACACCTGCAAGGTATCATTAATGTATGCCCAGTTTGTTTAAACTTCGCTTGTGCTGCAGTCAATGATACAGGAGCCAGATGTCCCTGAACCCTCATGGTGCTTTCAGGGAACTTTTTTTATTTTTGTTTATACAAGGCCGTGTATACACAGCACGGTTGGCAATATTGCCCTGCAAACCAGAACCTAAATTGCATTTGTTTTAAAACCAGCTGAGATAGGTGAAAAAAAATATTCCATTACCATGGAACGCACTACCCACAAAACTAACATTGCAGCATTTTTGCACTAGTACCATTAAAGCTGAACTCCAGGCAGCTATGAAAAAAAAACTACAGATTCAATTTTGCAGTAATTATAGAGTTCTTTAAATGTATTTTTAAATATAGCCAGTATATAAAGTTTGTCTTTATATTAGCTTCCTGGAATGATCTGCACAGCAGGTTTTAGACTGGGGGAGGAAGAGGCAGTACCCTGAACCAGTCAGGTTGTGCTGGATTGCCCAGTGCAGTCAATGTAACTCCAGGAGCTTGCGGACATGAGTGTCGATATTCTCATTCTACTGATTCTCTTTTGTCCTTTCAGTAGGCTGGGGACAGCAAGGTGACTTAGTTGGCCATACACATATTGTTTTTATTTTCTTTCAGCTTGCAGACTCAAAAAAAAATGTCTAAAAGATTCCTCTATTCACGTTACACAGCGTAGATGGACACATCTACCACTGCAGGAGGAACACATCAAATTTCATACTGTGTGTGTGACCCTCAAAAGCTTTATTTCTTTGGGGTTGTAAGACTGGCAAAAAAAAATGCCAAATTCTTTTTCTGATAAAACCGATCACACACACAGGATATTCTTATTTGAAACAGCTGTTTGTTGGGAGTTTAGCTTTAAAATGGTAATGGATGCAGTTCACTAAGCTGTACAGGTTGATTATGACGTAATTATTATTTTTAGCAATGACGTTCATTGGCAGTTGAAAATACCGATTACATGGCTGGAAATAAAAAACATTAAAAAAATGGCGAATTACACAAGCTTTATAGCTTAGTGAATTGAGCCTTAATTTTGTATTTACAATTAGCTATGTTGTGGGATAGTACACTCAGGTGTGTTGGCATCATATTGTAAAGTTCTGTGTGACATTTACTTAGCAGCTTCTGTGTACTGAACCATTTGTTTCAGTATACTGCTTTTGGCTGCCTGCTTGAGGGACACTTGACAGACATAGGAATTATATGTTGTGTGCCCCATTTTGAAATACAAAATACAGATGAAAGGTGTTTAGAATTTTGGGGTTCTACAGCTCTACAGAAACTGAGCCAGTCATGCTATGCAGATTGGAGATCCCCAGCGATCTGCGCTGTCACATTCAGTGATCAATGTGGGGAATGACTATTGCTAAACATTGTTTCATTAGTCTTATTGTGAGGCACGGACTTATTACACGGGGTGATGCTTAGTGTGTTTAGTCTCACTTACAGTACATCTCCCAAGTCTTTCTCTCGCTCTATTTTATTTATTTTTTTTTAACACCTTTGCCCTTTTTTACACAAAGAAAAGGGTACATCTTCTGTATATGTCCCCACTAGTATCTCACCTCTTTATATACAACTCCAACCTGAGTTGCGTCAGTTTTGCCACTTCCTGTTAAAGGTATTATAAAGATGTAATAAAATAAATCTATATGAATCGATTGGCATGGAGATATATATAATTCCATGAGCGATGGATAATTAAAAGATATCTGCTGTAGGTTTAGAAAAAAAAAGCATGCATTTGGAATAAAAAAAGCAACTGAAGTCACATTTTAAAGCAGCAGGGAAGTCACTCAGTACAGGACCTGGAAGCTGGTGGAGATCACTGTAATAGCAGAGATCCCACAGGTATGGTACATACATACTTACATTAGTCAAAGCTGAACCAATGTAATTATGTAAAAATTGCCATACCTAAACTTTCTAGATTTAATGCAGTTCAACAATGTATAAGACATGCCCCAGTACATATTTTATGCCCAGGGGTGGACTGACCATTTGGGAACTCAGGCACTGCCCAAGGGCCCGGGGTCAGTAGGGGGCCCCATGACTTTTTCGGGTGTGGTTTGAGTGTGTGCAAGGACACAGGGGCCCCATGATCCCCTTTTTCCCGGGGCCTCATGAGTTGTCAGTCCACCCCTGTTTATGCCCCATTGTGCCCAAACACATACTTTACCTGTTCACCTCCCCAAGATTCAGGTTGCTCAGCACCACTTCCTTAATCTTCCAGGTAGAGGAGCGTGTGTTCGAGTGTTTATCATACGCAGTGCACTACAGCTCAGACACAGGGAGAAGGGAGGATTGGGGGTGGCTTGCTACTGTAGATACCTTTTTTTCTGTGGACATAAGGAAACGTATCCACAGTGCCAGTAGGAAGCTCGCACACAAATCTGGCCCCATGGGACCCTGTACGGGAATGTTGGCCACCTGAAAAAAAAGGAAGCAATGAAGGTAGCATTTTCAAAGATGTAAGGCAGCCATAGGTCTATAAAGACTAGCAAACATGATAAGTGCTGAAGTTTGCAGAACTATATGATTTTTGCATTTGACCGTTTTAATAACACAATAAATATGTCACAACAATACTTTACAGATGTGTAGAAACTCACAACTGCCTTGAAGCTATTGCACTTTTATTTTGTTTTTATATATTTATATATATATATCTTATAAAACCACACAATGTGCCTGCATTTTTACATAGTGTGATCATCATTTATACTTTGTATGAATCTATGTTGGAAAAATCTTTAGATTCCATAAAGGACCAAACGTTTGAGTGCCTTGCTTAACCTAGAGTATATTCTAGTTTTGGGGGTTATTGAAACTTGGAGAACAACCAATTTTTTAAATTTAGTGCGCTCCATGTGATTTTAAATGTGAGCCTTAAATTTTTTATCTACTTTGAGATGACCTGAAAGCAGCTTGATGGGCAACAAGGTGTGCTAAAGAAAGCAAAACGCACTCCCAGATTCATTGACTTGTTTTTCTGTTGTATAAAATACTGCTAATACATAACTGGTTCATTGATGTCTACACTTAAAGCCACCCAAAAGGGGAAGTTCTGCTTTAATGCTTTGTCCCCCGCTCCCCATTAAGAATTGGCACCTTTGGGGATCTGGGGGGGGGAGTGGGTACCCGAATTTGAAAGGTAGCTGCTCCCACTTCCGCTGCAATCACCTAGGTGATTGGAAGCGAAAGTTGTCCTCCCTCCCCGTAATCTTCTGGGACATGTGGCAGGTTCCAGAAGACTACAGGGCCATTCACAAAGTGCAGCGCTTCTCGCGCATGGGCAGTGGTCACCCGGCTGTGAAGCCGCAAGCTGTCACAGCCAGGTGCCCACACTGAAGATGCCGGCGCCAGGGAGAGAAGACTGCCGGTGAAACCAATGGTGGAGAGGACACCGCTGGACCGAGGGACAGGTAAGTGTCTGTATTTTAAAAGTCAACAGCTACAGTTTTTGTAGCTGCTGATTTTTTTTTTTTTTTCCAGCTGGCTTCTCAAACAGTCCAATCTGTGTGCAATGCTTCTCCTAATGTCAAGTTCTTAAATAACAGATCCCTCTCCAGGCAACACACCACATAAGATAAAAATGCCATCTCGTAGTGTAGTATCGTAAAGCAGAATTTATTCACAGTATTGCACTTAAATTTTCATAGTAAAAACCAGCATGTCAATACAGTGTTTCCAACCAACAAGATGTCCATGCCGGTACGCAATGATGTCACACACCGTGACTCCACTTTATGCGTTTCGTCATCAAAAAGACTTCGTCAGGGGAATGGTAACGCTGCACTAATTTTATATTATTATATTTCTTGCCTACTGATTGTGCTAGCTGCTTTTTTAATTTTGATACGTGAGCGCAAGTTTGTTGGATAATTACAATTCAAATACATTTCATATCCTATAAGAATTATGGGGACCAGAAAAATGTTTTAGTTCTTGCTTTTGATTCTCTGTTCTATACAGTGATATAAATTACGCCATCTACAGCCTTTAAATGATTGTGGTGCATGAACTGTATTAGGAAGGAAGAAACAAACCTCAGTCTTACTGTATGTATTAGTGATTAAGTCTTCTTGGCTCATTTATACAAGAAAAATATTGCAATGAAGAAAGTGTCATTGTTATCCCAGAAGACATTAGGAGTAGCTTTTACACTATACACGACAATATATATCCTTTCTAAATGTTGTTTTAGTGCTTAGTTGTATTGTGTTTTTAATTGCCCACACCAGGGGTCTCCAAACTTTTCACTCAAAGGACCAGTTTACGGTCTGTCAGACATTAGGGGGGCCGGATTGTGGCTAGTGAGCTAGAAAATGTCCCGGGTCCAGCATAGTTTAGAATAAACATGACCTCAGGGTTGGTGGTCAGTAGGAGGAGGAGTAGTGCCCCATCATTGGTATTA